CCTCTACATATTTCCACATACTGTATGTAGTGTCTTCTCCCATGGATCCCTGCTGATTGGAACTGAAGGCATCCATGTGAGAGGGGCTTAAAGATTTTTGTCATGGGGCTGATTACTTTTTCCGAACAATAGGAGTTCCACTAATTCTATCCTATCAATCAGACAAAACAAAGCTGTTTTTACCTGTTCCTGATATCAACCCCTCTCTGATTATTCCATCCCATTGTTCAGGTAACTGTCAGTGCTGAAGAACTCATTCATGGCAGCGTTACACATATTTACATGCAGTGATGATGAGCTTACCTGATCATGAACTCAAACCTGTACCTGTGGACTGACTGAAGATTCCTTCTAAATATAATGCCTGGCTGTCATGCTGATCCACTGGCTTGTCTACTTTTTCACCTACTGACCGTAATAAAGCCAGGACAAGCAGGCAACTAGCATTTTTGTGTGAGCAATTGCAACCTACAAGTTTCTCTTTACTTCTGTTCATACCAATACGCATACTGTATGTTATTGTGTATGTTGCCACGTACTGTAATGCCCATAGGACTTTGTGCACGTGCAACAATAGGTATTGTTGAGCTACCTAGCTCTGACAAAGGGGGCGTGTCCCCAAAAACGCATGCAGTAGTGGTAGCGGGACTCTGAGAAAGCAGAGCTCTTTGATTTTCCTTCAATCACTCCAGCGTGTATCCACAGCCTAAAAGTCATTATGGCCTCATTCACACTAGAAAAGGCCAGCACGTACTGCTCTGCGCTGCATGCACGACCGTATCGCTCTGCTCCAGGGAAGGACAGGTGCTGCGTGTGATTAGTACACAGCCCCTGTCTTTCTCTATGGGAGTACGCGGCTGTACTACGTTCACCCCAAGTACAGGTCGGTACGGGTGCCTGTTTCCTGGCTCGGACGCAGACAGGATCCATCCTGTCAGTGTACGAGTACGGACACCCGCATGGATGTGAAGGGCGTGTGAGCGTAGGGCGGCATACAACCGCGTACTCCCATAGAGAAGGTAATCTCACGCAGCACCTGTCCTTCCCTGGAGCAGAGCGATACGGCCGTGCATGCAGCACGGAGCTGTACATGCCGGCCTTTTCTCATGTGAATGAGGGCTAAGGATCATCAGTCCATTTGACGTTTTTAACCTAGGCTTCTTTTGTGAGTATAAATCTTTGTCTACCTCTTTTTATTTATAAAAGGTTTATTTGCACCAGGAAAGGGGCCCGGTGTTGTTTTGTGTTTTATGCAGTGTTCGGGATCCCCTGTCTGAAACGGGGCAGCCTCCACTGGACCAGAAGAAGCATTTGGGCTATAGGAGGGCTTTGTTTATTTGGCGCTGGTCGGTGTATATCTTGGGGCTGGTCACACCCCTCCACACCTTTCAGCTTTCTGCACTGCCAGGCCCCGCCTCCTCCTGGTCGCCCCTGGGCCTGGCCTCTTCCTCCCCCAATGCCATTGCTGGGCCCCGCCTCCTCCTCTGCCGCTGAAGCCAGGCTCCTCCACCACAGCTGCTGGCTGTCACTGACTCAGCAGCGGCTGTGAGGAGGAACGCACCGTTGTCCAAATCATTGACAGGTTGAATATGATCTGGACAGTGGCGCGGTCCTCCTCTCAGGCGCCAGTGACAGCCAGCAGCTTGCGATGCCATAGCGACCCAGGCAGCCATCAGGGGGACCCCTTTGTTCCTCGTCCTGGCCAAGCCCCCCTGTGCCCCAGGCCCCATTGCGGCCACCTGGGTCGCTATGGCCATAGTTCTGCCACTGATTAGGAGGCACATCAATCGCATAGTTTATATTAAAGCTGGTCTGAACTAAGGAAATATAACGGACTCCTCCGTCAACGCTTGCGATCATGGATGGATGTATCCCCTGCTGTCTCCATTGTATTCAGAATACCCAATTGGTGCTTGCAGCTGATTGGCTGCAATCTTTCTGCTGAAGATTTTACAACCGGATCTTCTGATCAAGGGATGCTGGCTGGAAGGGTGCTAACTGGGGCACCCACCGTGCAAATTTTGGCCGATTCATCAAGGACTGGACGAAATTTGCATAGTGAATAGCCAGCTTTAGTGTATACCTTGTGTACAGTATGTGCTGTCTATCTAGGGTATCCAGAGCATACCCATAGAAGTAATCTCATCTGACAGTCTGCACTCCCTCAGTGTTAGTCTTCCTTTATGAAAGTTATTGCTCCAAGTGTCCAATGCTATAATTGTGGAAGCAAGGCATCCTTCCAAGCATCACAGTTAACAATAGTAACATTGTAGCCAGCTCACGAATGTCACATAGGACAGCTCTGCAGTGCTCTTCTCACACTCAGCAACATTGTAACAAGTCTCTTATGAGTAGTAATACAGGGTGGCAGTGTACTTGTGTAATGGGTATGATCTAGTAACACTGATATACATGTCATTTCTACCTGAAATGTATTTTCTCATTATAAGAATATATGTGAATGAATACCTATCCGGATGCTTTTCTGCTGCTTCCAATAGATGAAAATACAGTACAGATGTTGGTATATTAGTCACATAGCTGCCAGGGTTGTACCTCATCGATTGCACCAGGTTCACAGAATAACTCAGGGAAAGACCGAATTGGCCATCAGTTTGCTAACATTTTACAGAGCACCACAATGGTTAGTGGTGGTCAAGTTACTGGAGTGCAGCCCTTGACAGCACCAAACATGCCGCACATTATATCCAGTGAATGCAATGTTACAGAAAGCTGTCAGACATTGCAGACAGGCAAAAAGTCGTGTGTTTAGCGAAACTCTTAGATGTGACACAACCCTTAAAGTAATACTGTGTATCTCAAGGCAAAGTTTTTAATTTAAAAGAAAACAAAAACATATTTTGTACATGTCTGCATTACCTGCACATTTCCCCATGCTTATTCCTATACAAATGCTGCAAAAAATACCAGTTGAAGTGCCAGAAATATAGCATGCTCCTACCTTCCTCTTTGATATGACAACACAGCTCTGAATTACAAAGTATATGGTGTCAGTCCTGCCTACTTCCTTTTTGATAGGTTACAAAGAACACAGACACAATGCACTTTTCGCACGGTAACACACTAGGGTTTGCTGTGCAATAGGCTTGTGCTAAACACTTGTTACCGTGGCTTCAGTGCAACCATTAGGTGTGAAATGGCCTGAAGCAGACCTTCACCCTTTTCAAAAACAATTTTTCTTTTGGCTCCTCCCACTTACAGAATTGGAAAACATTTTTTTTTTTAAAATAAAGATTAGTACATTTTTTGTGCTGCTAAACAGCACTTCATGTACCTTGTGTATTTTTATTATTATATTATTATTATTATT